CCAGCCAAGATTGAGGCTGTCATGAGTTGGGAGGTGTCGAGATCCCCCACCGAGATCAAGAGTTTTCTGGGGTTGGCCGGCTACTATCGGAGATTTATCAGAGATTTCTCCAAGATTGCCGTTCCCCTCACCAGATTGACCCGGAAGGGCGTTGCTTTTACTTGGGGTCACGAGCAGCAGACCTCGTTTGAGACTCTTCGCCAGAGATTATGTGAAGCCCCGGTGTTAGCCCTTCCGGAGGGAATGGAGGATTTTGTGGTGTATTGTGATGCGTCTATATCGGGGTTGGGTGCGGTGCTTATGCAGAGAGGGTACGTGATAGCATACGCATCGAGGCAGCTGAAGCCTCATGAGACGAGGTATCCCACCCACGATTTGGAGTTGGGGGCAGTGGTGTTCGCCCTCAAGATATGGCGCCATTATTTGTATGGGGTTCGGTGTACCATATACACAGACCACAAGAGTTTGAAGTATCTGATGGATCAGCCCAACCTGAATATGTGCCAGAGGAGATGGTTGGATGTGGTAAAGGATTACGACTATGAGATCCTGTACCACCCGGTCAAGGCTAACGTGGTAGCCGATGCTCTGAGTCGCAGGGCGGAGAGTGCCCCGATTCGAGATATATGCATGAGGATGACGGGGATGACTCTGGTATTGGATACCATCCGAGAGGCCCAGGCAGAGGCTGTGAGACCGGAGAATCGCAAAAGAGAGCGGGTGATTGGGCAGGTATCCGAGTTTGTGACGGATAACCGAGGGCTTATGACCTTTCATGGTCGGATTTGGGTGCCGTATACGGGCAGGGCATGTAGCACTCTGATAGAGGAGGCGCATAGATCGAGATTCTCGATCCATCCCGGGGCCACTAAGATGTATCTGGACCTGAAGAGAGACTACTGGTGGCCCTGTATGAAGAGGGATGTTGCATGGGTAGTAGAGAGGTGCTTGACCTGTCGCCGGGTTAAGGCCGAGCACCAGCGTCCGCATGGCAAATTGCAGCCATTAGAGGTTCAGTGGAAGTGGGAACAAATTTCTATGGATTCTATCACCAAATTGCCGAGGACCGTAAGAGGTGTTGATGCAATTTGGGTGATTGTGGATCGGCTGACGAAGAGCGCTCACTTCCTTGCTATCAGTGAGAGCTCTTCTGCAGAGAGGCTAGAAGAGATATATGTGAGGGAGGTGGTGTCGCGGCATGGAGTGTCGATCTCGATTGTGTCAGACCGAGATGTACGTTTCACTTCCAGGTTCTGGAAGAAGTTCTATGAGGAGTTGGGAACGAGATTGCACTTCAGTACTGCTTACCACCCACAGACGGATGGACAGAGTGAGCGGACGATACAGACGCTCGAGCACATGCTTCGGGCATGTGTTATGGACTTCGGTGGAAGTTGGGACACATACCTACCTTTGGCTGAATTTTCTTACAACAACAGCCACCATTCGAGTATAGGTATGCCTCCCTTTGAGCTTTTATATGGGAGGAGGTGTCGAACTCCCATCTGTTGGGGAGAGGTAGGGCAGAGAGTGATGGGTAGCACTGAGGTAGTGCTTAAGACGACTGAGCAGATACAACAGGTCAGACAGAGGTTACTAACAGCCCAGAGCCGCCAGAAGAGTTATGCGGATAGGCGGCGATCCGAGCTCGAGTACCAGGTTGGAGACTTTGTACTCCTGAAGGTATCTCCTTGGAAAGGAGTGATCCGATTCAGGAAGAGGGACAAACTGGGGCCCCGATACATTGGTCCTTTCAGGGTGATCGCCAGAGTGGGCGAGGTAGCATACCGTTTAGAGCTACCAGCGGAGTTGAGCCAGATTCATGATACATTCCACGTATCCCAGTTGAGGAAGTGTATAGCCGATGAGACAACAATAGTGCCGCTAGAGGATATTCAGGTAGATGCAAGCCTGAATTACATTGAGAGGCCGATCGCGATCTTGGATCGGAAGATCAAGGTTCTGAGGAACAAGGAGGTGCCTCTGGTTCAGGTCCAATGGCAACATCGGAGAGGGTCCGAGCTGACTTGGGAGGCGGAGACGGAGATGCGGGAGCAGCATCCAAACTTGTTTGCAGAGTAAGACTTCGAGGGCGAAGTCTGATTCTAGTAGGGGAGAATTGTAACATTCGGATTTCCAGGTATCATAATTTAAATATTTATTTTTGAGGTGAGAAGAGGGACTCGACGAGTTGACGCCTAAACTCGTCGAGTAGGATCGCGACTGATGACTCAGATTAATGAATGGACTCGACGAGTCGGAGAGTCAACTCGACGAGTCCATGCTGTTGGCAGAAACCCTACATCTTTGGGCCTGAGCCCTATTTAAAGGCACTTATGGCCTTAAATTGCAGCTATCTTTCCAGAAGAGAGAACCCTAGCAAGCTTGAGTGTGTAGAGTGAGAGGAAGAGCTATCTTGAGCTATTTGGTGTGATTTTGCAAAGGAGGAGAAGAGTTCCAGCAAGAAGGACCAAAGGAGGTTGTTGTTCTGAGTTAGTCAAGCAAGGAACTTCATTCTGAGGTACCAAATCGAACCCCTCTTCTTCCCTATTGTGTAGATTCCATTTTTGGGGTTAGGGCTTGAATCACTTCATTTTTGGGGTCTTGAATGCATCAAATCCCTCTTCCTAGTTGTGTTATTGATCTGGACCTTTCTAGGTCCAGGGAGCCAGAAAGTATGAAGCTTTAGTCGAGTAATCATAGGGTCTTGAAGCTAGGAAGCATTAATGGGGTTTCTATGGTATATAATGCAAGATACACCATGCATGGACACCAAGTTAAGACCTTTATGTGATTTTTGGGTGTTAGAAGGCCAGATCTATAAGTTAGAGAAACAGATCTGACCTCAGAAGGTCGTTTGAGCATTTTCATGGAGGAAACTCGCTGAGTCCATGAGAGGACTCGACGAGTCGGATCATGTTGCTCCGCGATTCGTGATCAGTGGTAACCCGTCGAGTGAAAGGTTAACTCGACGAGTCAAGTGAGGCCTTAGGAGGATTCAGAGGACACGCATAGACTCGCCGAGTCACCCGAGTGCACTCGACGAGTTTGGTCAAGGTTGGATCGTTGACTAGAGTTGACTTTCGTTGACTTCTAAGGTTTGGTCAACAATTGGACATTTGGACCATTGGAGGGGTAAAATGGTCTTTTCCCCTTCTGAGAGATTATAGGAAGGGTTTAGTCTCGCCTTTGAGAATCGTTGTTAATTTGAGGTAAATTACTTTATATGATTAGGCGGAGGCTAGATCAGTATTTCGAGTTCGAGACTTTCCGAGATTACCCGAGGTGAGTCTTCTCACTATACTTTACCTAAAATGGTAACTATGTGTGACCGGAAGGTCTTATGTATTTGTATGAGTTATGTGATTTAGTTGAGATGCTTACTGTGATATGTATATGCTGAATGAATTGGGCCGGAAGGCAAACAGAGTTAGGGCCGAAAGGCAAGGCATGGTAGGGCCGGAAGGTCTACCAGAGCTGTGATATGTGTTTCAGGTACTACCGAGGATCGTGGGAAGGCGACGACATAATTTGTACACACTGACAGAGAATTATGTTTTTGAGATTCTGGGATATGTTTTATTGTGATGATATTTGATACACATGAGATTTTGAAAATATTATATGAATTTTATTGTGTTTGGAAAATGAAAAATTGTTTTAAAATTTACGTCGTTACAAATATGACTATCAAAGTCTATTAACTATTATTAATATTAATTAGTGGTCATTTTATCGTATAAACATGTTTTTATCTCAAAGTTTCAAAAGAATTCCAATTTTTAGAAATATTGAAACTTAAAAGTTATTATAAAAATTAGTTAAACACTTAAAATATGATTAAATTTTCATGTTCATATTATGTTATTTTCAATAGTTCAATGTATAATAATATATCTAAATTTCTTTCGAATCATGATAATTACATAATAATTTCTTTTTGACAACGAACATGTGAATATTGTTTAAAAAATTAAGTTGAGCGTTATATTTATATAAATATTCAAAAAAATTTAAACTTTTATATAAACATTAAGACTTCGGATTATATGCTAACACTCGTCAAAAATATTTGACATGAGGGGGGTAAAAGAACTTTTCTCAAGGCTACACATAGAGGTTAAAAAAATAAATCGAAAGTTTATGATGATAACATATCACTAAATAGTATCATATTAATATCATCGTTTTATATTTTATCAATATGAGACATCATAAAAGGTAGAAAATATGATAATTACTTATACAAAAAAAGAGTTTATTAAGTTTGTTGTGGTAGACGCCTAAACCGGTTAAAATCAAGAACATAAGAGAACAAAAATATAAAAGAAAAGGTTTTAGCATATTTACTTATGGAAGAAAAGAGTTTATTAAGTTTGTTTACTATGACAATGTGGGATCAAATTCGTGTTTATAATGTGTCTTTTTGTGTGTTTTTCATATTGCTAACATATTTCTTATCTCACATCGTTTAAGAAACAAAACTCATAGGAAAAAATGCATCTATAAATAAAGGGTCTAAAACCTTTTCTCTTACATCTTTGTTCGCTTGTATTCTTGATTTTGACTGGTACTGAAGCAAGGAATATGAGTAGAAGAGCGCTAGCATCCCTTGCTCTCTATCGATTGCTCACCGCCGTCTCATCCAAAGGAATAGAACTGGAGGCGTCAACTGCAATTTGGTCCCTAGCCCCTTTTTGGTGGTCAACGGATCGTCAGCTGGTCAATGACGGCAGCTTCCATTTGAGTCGGCTACCCGATAACTCTAATCCATTTCTCGACCTTCATTTCTCAGTCGGTTCACTCCTTCTCCTTCTCCGCTTCTCCCTCCCTTTCCTCTCCTCTCCGTCTCTCTCTCACCCTAATCCGCACACCAGCTGTCTCCGACCGGCGAGTCGACGATGACCACATCATTCCGGCTTCTCACGCTTCTCTCCGTCGCTTCTCATCGACGTCTTCCTCCGATTGAACTACTTCAGATGAATTCATGAGAAGTTAAGATGGTAACCCTAAAATCTTTTGCGCCTTTATTTTTCTCACAAAACCTCCGGAACCGGTAAACTTTCTTCCTTTTATCTTATATCTGTTCGTTCTTGATGCATAAGCGCTTTCGCCAAACCTCAACCTAGAACCTTCCGTTCTTATCTATTTTTCCTTTTGTTCCACTTTTGGACTCAAATACTTCCCGAACCTTACTATACCCACTGTTGTTCTGAATTGTGATTGTCAACTCTGTTTTCTTTGATGTTTTCTGGTTTGGTTTGTACAGAACCTTTTGTTTAAGATTTCTCAACAATGCTCTCATATTGAAATTGGGAGAGAAACCCACAAGCATATTCGACTACAATTAAGAATGGGGGAAAGTTCAATGATTATCAATTCAGATGATTGACGCTTCTGGTGGATTGGACCGGCCATGGTGCTTTTGTTTTGCAATTATCAGCCCTAAAACGTCTAATTTTCTGCCGTGTATCAATCTGGAAGGTAAATCTTTGAGTCACAAGTGTTGAGGAGTTAGCTGCTACTGTTAAAGGTCCAAACATATTTTTACATCAATCTTTCAATATGGTTCTCATCAACAATCTGATAAAAACACTATTTGATAATGATTGTATAGGGGCATAACGTGTTGATTAAACAGAGCTATGGACCTGCTAAAGTGACAAAATATGGTGTAACAGTGGCCAAAAACATCGACTTCAAACACGAAGTCAAAGAAGTATTGTTCTTAAATCTTAATAGTGAAAATGGAATCAAAGCTTTATTTTCAAAGGTAAAGTTGGGCTTATTTTGGAGATTATCTTATTGAAATTGAAGAAAGGACACCAGAATCACCCTTTCAATTTTTGAAATATGGAATTTGAGATAAATCTTTCTTTCCCTCATCCTTTACTCCATACAAAATACTACCTTATTGTATCTTTTGGACAAGATAAAATGCTTAATGCTAACATTTTATTCTCACTCTTGCCTTGAGGACAAAATGAACGAACCCTGAAACCATGAAACCATCAGGTGTTGTTTCTTCAATGTGATCAAACAAACAAATCAAAACGGCCACCAAATAAGTTGACATAATTGGATTTTCCTCAAAGAAAACTGCCTTAAAATCTCCATTATTGTCTCCTTAAAGACCGACATATTTGACAATGCTGTCAATTGTGATGTTACGTTGTCAACTGTTATGTTGAAGGCAGCCTACATGCATTTAGCAGCTAATAAATATGTTTCTGAGATAAATATACTTTCTTTGAAGGTTTTATGAAGAAGGAGAAAGGGAAGAGGATGAATCAGATGGAATGTGATTGCATTTTTTCCAATCATTTATCTTCATCACTCAAGAAAAAGAGGAAGAGGAATTCTGAAAATGATTTTCTTTCATAAAATTCCCAAATCAATTCCAGAAGGCAGAAGGTAAAAGAGTCTGGATTTCCGTTTTCCTTATACAATTTTGGTGGACTGTGAAAACCGCCACCACGACAACTCAGTCTCAGCCACCAACTTAAGATAGTATCCACTTCTCTTTCGTCATTTTACATAATTTATCGACTCACTTGACATTTTACTTCTGAAAATTCAATCTTTTTTGCATACTTTTCTAGGGTTTGAAGAGGCACTTCCAAACGGAACCGACCTAGGACATGATTTCGGTCTTCCACTTGATTACTACTTGTGTCAGTTTGGTTCACCCTATTCAGTCCAGTCGATTCAAACATCCATTTACCTCACTTTCTGACATTTTCTAAAGATTTCTACTAAGATTCTTCAGTATTTGTTTAATTAAAATCCGTCATTTATCGTCGCTAGGTTTTATTATTATTATTTTTGTAGGGCTAAATCTAAGGAACTGAGTCTGTGAAATTAGAGCAGTAAGTATAACCCCGTAAATTCATCTCTTATGTAAATTGAACATACAATCTGATACCAAATGCTAGAACTTGAAGGTATATTATGACAACTAATTTACTAAATATCTTTAATTTTAAAGTAAAAAACTTTGGTACATACAATTTGTGAGGAGCATTGGATTGAATATTCAGATAAGTTTATTTCATTGTAAACAATATTTTCAGTTTTTTGTCGTTTTGAATATTTCAGATATGGTTAGTTGTTTATATGAGTATTTTGGTTCCTTTTTTTTGGCTGGTTAGAGGTAAAAAAGAACACAACATCTGCATTTTCCCTGCGTCAATATCACATCAGGTAGTTTACTGATTTTTTTTTGTATATATTTACTTTCCACATGGTATACTACTATACAAAAATGGTACTGATGGATCAATAGCCTGCATTTACACCATCATAGGGTCTAACTGAAGGTGTATTAGATCGTTATGTTCATCGGTGGGTGTTTTGGACAAATATACCCTTGCTTCTTTGTAGTTGTTCTGTGGATTCTACTTTAAAATAATACTTGAAAAAAAAACAAAAGATAATTAGTCATTCATCTAACCACCTGATATATACTTTATAATTGAAGAAAATACATCAACCAGCTCAGGTTTTCATCTTTAAGTATGCTTTCATTTTATGACCCAATCTATCCTCATGGTCATTCATACTGTTGTGAGATTTGTTAAGAAGTAATTTGATTTTTTTTTTTTTTTTTTTTTTGCATTCACATTCGTTTATATATGTTTCATATTCTACCTTCCCAACAATATATTGGAATATGATAATGTAAGCTTTAAATTCATAATGATTATTGAATATATGTTTATTTTGTGTTATTTGTATGTATTAAATAGGTCGAAGGGTAAAATAGTCATTCATTCAGGTTTATATAGTATTGCTGGTAGATATTGCTTTCAATGATCACTCAGATGAGACAAGGCAATTTCATTTTTGCATTCTGTGTTTGTAATTAGATTTTTCTTGACTATTACTCCAATTTAACCGTATCTTCTATACAAACCAAACCGTATAAGAAACACCTGACCGGTAGGTTACTTCACAGTCAATTGTATCAATTAGGGACTAGGGTTTAAAGGGGCTACATTTTTTTTATGGGGTTTTGTATTTCTGGATATCTTTTTTTGAGATATTTTATACCTTTTTTTGCGAATTGCTGATCCTGCCACTTTTGTGTAATGGATTTGTCGTTCAAATAGCTTCTCAAATGATCCAACAGCAAGAAGTAAATTTTTTCCAGATCAGTCATAGCTGTTCTTTGTAACTGATAAGGTACAACAATTTTCTTGGTTAGAGTTCACACTTCTTTATAAACTTCTATTAGTATGCTATATTTCTGCATTCATATTTTCGCTTTTATTGAATTATTTATAAGAAAAATCCAAAATAGAACGGAACAAAAATGATGGGGCATATATGAAAAATTGGAAATGATATAATTTTTATCTATGTACTGACCATCAAGTCTCAAATGGTTGGTTTTTATGCCTTTGTATCGGAATATATTTTACTTTTGTCATTATGTTTTTGGGTTATATTTTATTTTATTTTTCGAAATTTTGGATTTTGCTTCGGATTTTGGGATTGTTTTTGAAATTTTGGAATACGACATGTTTACTGTCACCGGTTTTTCAAGTAAATGACAATCTTACTTTGTTTTAGGTTTGTATTTTGATTTCTTTTTGTTAGATTTCATTAAATCATTTTTTTTAAATATCGGATTTGTTTATTTGTATTTTGGACATGTTATTGAAATTTTTGATTACTTTGTCCTAAAGGTTTAGTCTGAAATCATGATTTACATTTTTTTTTTCAGAAATATATTTTTTATGTGAAAAGGCCCTTTGGATTTGTCAAATACCTTCTATATATATTTGCAAAACCTTTCATCATATGTTTTCTAATGTATTTCAAGCAAGTGGGTTTTTCTCTTCCATCCACCAATTTACTGATGAACAATCCACGCATGTTCAAAAGTACATAAATATGTCTTCTTCTACTTTCTAGGAAATTAAAGAGGAGAATGAATTGGGGGCAAATTTGTAAAAATTCTGTATTCAGTGTTAATTAATTAAAACAAGAACAACAATACATTTGTAATATGTTTATTTTAGAGAATCAGAGTGTGCATCTTCAGGGGCAAATCTGTCGGCTTCTTACCATCACATTACTAAAAAATGTGTTACCTCAAGAAAAACATCATATTTATATCGTTCTCAGTCAGATATACTTATTATTAATCACAGTTTTTTGAGTTTAATCCACATTTTCCTCATTTTTTCAGATTCGCTTGCATCTCCACTTTTGCATTACTTAGAAACCTCAAATTCAAGAACTTTATGCGACATACTTTTGTGATTTGTTAAGTTAATGTATTATTTAGATAAAGCCCAGAAAGACGTGAATGTGAATGATGTTGTGAAGGGTAAAAAGGGAAAACTGGAACAAAAAGAAGAGGAGGAGGAGGTTTTTAGGGTGGAGAAAAAACCGGAAGTGAAAGAAGTTGGTGACAATGAAGCCGAGTAGAAGCTCAAGCTATGGAATGGAATCATTGAGATTCCGTTGGAATGAAAAAAAAAAAGCATTTTGTTTTTGTAGTAATTACTCCCATTTGATTGAAAGTCAAATTTCTTCTAGAAATTTAATCTTCTTTTGATTTGGGTGTCTCCTTAAAGACGAATAATTTAGGGCTTCTTTTGATTTGGGTGTCTCCTTAAAGACGAATAATTTAGGGCTTCTTTTGTTTATCATTTGTAATTATAAATTCACTTCTTTTTGTTGAAGTTATAGTTTGATATATTTTCTATACTTTGAAACAGATTTGATGATGGGCAAGTGGTTAATACTATTGAAATGGGATAATTATAATTATGTATTTTCCTTTCTAAATCATTATATATAAATCTTATGGTTTTGTATATGATAATGTCACAAAATGGAAAATGTTAGGATTCTCATAAAAACTACAAAAACTGTATAAAAAATGATATTTAATAAAATTACTCATTTTCTAGAAAAAGATAAATATGATAACATAAAAAGCATAAAAACTTTACAAAAAAAAAAATTAAATAAAAAAAAATCAGGAACTATTGACTTATATCAGATGAAACATGGTTAAACACATTCATGAGAACATCAAAACCCCTGCATCGCGGGGGTGATACTTTTCTAGTTAGAATTAAATTGCATGAGAACCAAGAAACATTAATTTTCAAACTATTTTAAAAAATCAGTCAACCACTTATAATATGATTAAGTTTCATGTTCATAGTATGTCATTTTCCATAGTCCAATGTGTTATGATACATGTAATTTTTTTCGAATCATCACAATACATATACATAAATTCTTTTTGGCAATTAACATTTAAACATTGTTTAAAAAAAATTAAGTTGAAAGTTGTATTTATATAATTGTGTCATAAAAAATTAAACTTTTATATAAACGTCAATACTTAAGATTATATACTAAAACTTGTTAAAAATATTTGACATGAGTCGATTTCGAATCATATTTTTCAAATTAATTTTACTTGATTTCATCCAATTAATTCTAATAATATAAAACATAAATGGTTAAGAAACAAAACTCATAGGAAAAAACGCATCTATAAGTAAAGGGTCTAAAACCTTTTCTCTTACATCTTTGTTCGCTTATATTCTTGATTTTGACTGGGTTAGGCGTCAACTGCAATATTTCAATAACCATTTATGTTTTATATTATTAGAATTAAATTGCATGAGAACCAAGAAACATTAATTTTCAAACTATTTTAAAAAATCAGTCAACCACTTATAATATGATTAAGTTTCATGTTCATAATATGTCATTTTCCATAGTCTAATATGTTGTGATACATGTAATTTTTTTCGAATCATCACAATACATATACATAAATTCTTTTTGGCAATGAACATTTAAACATTGTTTAAAAAAAATTAAGTTGAAAGTTGTATTTATATAATTGTGTCATAAAAAATTAAACTTTTATATAAACGTCAAGATTATATACTAAAACCTGTTATAATGATGTTGAGTTTACACAATGAGTCGATTTCGAATCATATTTTTCAAATTAATTTTACTTGATTTTCATCCAATTAATTCTAATAATATAAAACATAAATGGTTCTTGGAATGTTACAGTTAATGCCTAAACCGATCAAAATCAAAAACATAAGAGAACAAATATATAAGAGAAAATGTTTTAGCCTCTTTACTTATAGATGTATGTTTTCCAACTAAGTGTGAGACCCGTGTACTACACGGGTTTATAAAAAATATATATAAAGGTGTAAACATTTAACATTTTTTAAAGTGGTGCCTTTACATAGATACAAACAAAATGACAAATAAGTAAGTAATTCAATCTATACTAATAGAAAAAAAAACTATTAACATATTTTAAATAATTGGGTTGAATATGAAGGTGTCAACAATACACATTTTTTTAAAAGTAAACTTTTGAAAATAATACAAATAAATTGATGAATAAATGGGTAATTGAATCTATACTAATACAAAAAGCTATTGATATATTATAAATAATTGTTATGAATCACAAATTTTTATAGACTTCTTTGAATACAACATTAGATATCATATTCCTAAGGTTACCGTCATTGACTAGAGTTAATATTTTAACTTTAGACAATGCAACATACGTCCATGAGTGAATACTGGTTGTCAAAAAAACAACATCACTTTCGATAATGACTGTAATTCACTCTTGTTTATTGTCATCACAAAACATACAACCAGTGAAAATTGTTTTCTTTAAAATGTGAAAGAAATCCCTTTATCCAAAGGTGTCAAGGACATTCTTGGAATAAACACGCGATTTCCTATACTACTTCCAGAAAGTATCTTTGCTTCTTTAACATGATTACTTAATGCTATTTATTGAAATTAGGGCTAATATTATAGACGGTCAATTCACCGCGAATCTCGTTGTAACTTGACTTATTGAGTTTTAATGCATCTTAAGTAAAATAAATAAGTTTATTTCAACTATTATGAAATATCCTATGATATCATACTTCCAAATGTATAAAATACAAACAAATCAAACAGCTCAAACTGCAACCCTAGTTAGGACGTTTGAAAAAAGCTGAAAATTCATAATAAACGGTTTTGAGCAAAGCAACTATTCTAGACTCATAGTACGTGTTCCCCTGAATCCAAAAATATAAAGAACGTCCAAAACGGAGTTCGTATACAAAAGATCTGACCGTTTTAAGAAACCAAACCGGTATAACACCGATTTTACTTGTTTTGCTTAAACTGTTTTAATCAGTTAAGGCACTTACTCATTGCCGACGGGATTTCCGAGAACGTTTTTCGATCAGACTATGGTCTAATATTTAATTCATACTCAGAAATATTTTTAACGAAAATATTTACAAAAGTCGCGAAAAACGGACTTTACGGCTATTTAGACGCGAAACATCGAACACAATTTCCTGGAGTTCCGTAACTCCAAAAATTAATCCATTTGATGTTCCAGAATCCTTGAATTAAACTCTATCTAACGGCACTTTCATAAAATTTCTCGACATCCGGATCCCGATACACCAAAATAAGCTAGTTTTTCGGGCATTTAAGGGAATGTGACCTGATGTGGGCCCACATAACTTGCAAGAAGATGGAAATTGATTTTTTTTCCTTCCCTCCCACGTGACCAGCCAATCTTCTCCTTCCCTTCCTTCCCTTTGTGTGCAAGACTCTCCAAAGTGGCACAAGGACACTTGATGAAGTATGGTTCTCTCTAAGGCCTCTAACATCGCTAACACTATAAATAGAGAGGCTTAGAACTTCATTCCTCACTCAAAAACACCAGCCTTATCTCAACCTTTATCTCAACCTCTCTCTAAACCTCTCTCAATCTCTCTCTCCGTATACACACATAAGCACCCAACACCACCACCATTTCACCACCTAAACCCACCCAAACACCTCCTGATAACTCCCTTTGATCATCTCCAACATCTCAGCGCCTCCCCTCATCGATTTCAAGGTCAAGAATAGGAAGAAGGAAGAAAGGATCCCCCTTTTAAACTCTTCTGTCGGCGACTTTGGAGCTCTCCCACCGCCGCATACTACCGCCACCAGCCACCCCCTTTGACTGTAAGTCTTCCCCTCCACCCCTTTACGTCTTTTGTTTTTGGTTCAAGTCTATTCGTCGATCGAAGAAGCCACTGGACCGTTTTCATTTTCTACGTACATGGACTCGACGAAGAAACAGGAGGTTCCAAACCTCCTGTTGATAAATTGTAAATTCCAAACTTGAATACCAAATTAATTATTTTTACCCATTTCGAAAAATCTTTACAAAACAGGTCCTAGATTATTTAAACTTCATTTAAAATATGTAAGACTCACCCCCTCCTAGAAATCCTTTTAAATCAAGTCCCTAACTTAAACTTTCACTTTATTTATTTATATTTAACCTCTCTCTTGGGATTTATTTGCAAAATAAATCCAAAACTTAAACTTATAAATGAAATAAATCATTTTAGTCCTTCATTTGAAAAGTGTTGACAAACATGGTCCCATCTAATTTATTTAAATTAGTAAATGGACCCTATACTTTGGTTAAATTACCAAACAACCCTCCACATATTAATTTATGTTAAAATTTCATAGGAAACTAGATAAATCTCGACGGTTCGTTATCAAAACGACACATCTCGGTTTCTCGCGTCAATTCTAGAAACAATCGACAACCACACTTTTGTGTAAACACATTACTAGTTTGTGAATTATTTGTTTAAATGCTTATATGCTATAAGTAAACAAAATCGTTTTAAACATCAATATTTACATATGTTAAGTTGTTAAAATAATACAACTAATAAAAATAACATATACTTTCCAACTACAAAAGTGTTGTAATTGTATAGACGGTTATCAACTTGATAGTTTCAACATACATCATACATACACAAAGATATATAAGTTTATATATTTATACAAATTATATAAATTGTATCTTAGGCTCATACATGCGCTTGTGTACACTATCTTAAGATTTATCAACTGTTTAAACACGTAACGTACACTTTTACGCTTACGCTTATCAAATATACTTGTCATCCATCCGTTTATCCATATTTGCGATTGTTAAGTACAACCTTGACATATAACTTTATTTGTATATTTGTATATCCGTTTATACGTTTATCTGTACAACTTTATCACTATAAACTTTAACTAGATTTCATTATCTAGAAACCATAGTTTAGATTCCTTGCTTCAGCAAACACTTCTAAACACGGTTTTACTTACAAAAAAGGCTATACTTTTTGGATCATATTAAAAGTATCATTATTACAAAAAAACCTGTGACTCTCACCAACCTTTGTGTTGACCCTTAAACTTACATGTCTTCTCAGGAGATCATTAGACAAGCGTTCAGACAGAAGATTAGTCATGGATTACAGATGACCTAACTATCTAGTTTTTGTATTTTGCTTACCTGTTTAAGGCAACTACTGTACTATTATTATCTGTAAGAACCCTATATTCAAACTTAACAATGGAATAAAAATGTTGTTTTGTTTATCGTTGTACTTGTGTTATATATTCAATTCACCTGTGATCCATGAACTTAGTCGCACAGTCCGACATGTTCCGCCTTGGCCGGGGGTGTGACACCTTTACACAAATTGCATTTAAGATTAATATTCCTTAGCAACATAATTAGAATACCGACTTTTAATACCAACTTATA